ATATGAAAACCTTCTGGAAGGAAATTCAAATTCATTAACAGATTTACTAGGAAATAAAAATGGAGTTTAGGGGTCTGGGGATGTAGCTCAGTGGTGCTGCACCTGCCTGGTAACTATAAGGTCCTGAGTTTGATTCCTGGTATCAAGAAAAAAAAAATGATGTTTAGGGAAATAGAAGTGGTCAGAAAAGCAACTTAATTTTCCAATACTTTCTACTGCTTTATTTTTTTTCTAAATGAGAAGTTTTATAGTTATAGAAAGGTTTTTAAATTTTAGACATATTTTTGTTACCACAAAAGCAATATATATGCAGGGAAATTTAAAAAGAGTGCTTTCTATAAGAGAAGAAAATAAATATGTAAATGTAACTTCATCTACAAAGAGAGAAAGCTATTTAAAACCTTCTTGTACATTTTTTTTAGACTTCCAGTCTTGCATGTAGTCCTTTGTTTTAACAAAGACAGAATCTTACTGTAATACTATTATATAATCTGCTGTTTTTTATTTAACCGTTTATCATAAATATTTGTCCCATGAATACATTTTCTTATACAACATCATTATTTAATGACTAAATAATATTCCAATATACTATACCATCATAAACATGTAGCTTGCTCTGCTTCCTCCCTCTTTCGTAAACAATATACTAGTGCACAATCATATAACTAAATCTCTGCAAACATGTACATTTATTACTTCTTTTAGCCAAACCCCTAGAAGCAGAATTGTCATTTAAAGCTTTAGCTACATACAATCAGGTAGCATACAGCAATTTACCCTCCATTCAGAAGTGTACGTGTGCCCACTTTTCTGCTGAATATTTTCATTAAAATATTTTCCTGTACATCTGCTTTGAAAGGATTTAAAGATAATCCCTCTTCACTGGTACATTTTAATTTTACAAGGCAGAATCTTGCACTAAAACCAAAGCTCTGCCTACCAGAGTGTTTAACAATGAAGAAATTCATGGCTTACTCTTGGGAGGCTGTAGCTCTGGTCCCCACAGTCCATACTCCTTGATGTCATAGATGTGCACAAAGCCTTGCTGATCAGCCAGGTAGACAAGGGCATCTCCTGCTGTCACCGCGATGCTGCTCACCTGGGCTTTTCCTCTGGACTGAGACACACATGGCAATCATGAAAGAAACATGCACACAGTGGCAAGTAAAATGCTAGGCTTTGTGGATGGTTAGAACTAGTCGATCTCCTGTGACTCTTCCAGTGAGTTAGAAATGCCACGAAGACAAATAATACTAAAAGCTTGGAGCCTGGTACAGTTGCTCTATTACTTAGTCAGTCTAGTGTGGAGAAACAAAACAAGGGCTGGGGATTTAGCTCAGTGGCACCATGCCTGCCTTGCAAGCACAAGGTTCGATCCCTGGCACCAAAAAAAAAAAAAGAAGAAGAAAGGAAGAAACAAAGAAAGAAAGAGAGAGAGAGAGAGAGAGAGAGAGAGAAAACAAAACAAAATGCCAAACCCATAGCTGGAAAGCTAACCAGTTGGCTGCCTAACTTACAGGAGTGAAATTTGCAAAAAGGCCAGTCACACCAAACAGCCTCCAGAAGGTAACGGAACCTGGAAGAGAGAGAAGCAGAAAGATGGGAATGTTTGCACTGAGTCCACCCAGGCTGAGGTTCTGAGCTAGTGCTGAGGCCACTGTGGCTTCACTACAGGGGTAAAGATCTTTTCTTTCTTTTCATTTGATTTACTGTGATCAGTTATAATTATCAGCATATACTGGGAAGGAGAGTCTTCCTGTTTGTGGGTTTTGGTTTCAGTAAGGCCTGCAGTTTTGGGGCTGGGACAATGAGGATGAACAATGGGGTGTCTCTCAATAGCAAGAGAAAAAACCCATACCTTGTGATCAAATGCCCTCGGCTCTGTGCCTTCCCCTGCCACAAGAACAGAACAGGTGGCTGTTTTTAATTTGCAATGTTACTTAAAATTCCAGAGCTTTTGAGCTGGACTTGGGTTGGGTTCTTTTGTTACACTGGAAGCTTGGAGGTCATGTTATCTGGCTCATGCCACTTAGCTAGTTCGTATCTTGTCTGGACCAGGGACTCTGTTCTCTAACCCTTAGTGGGCCCTCATTTCCTCCTCCATAAAATGAGCAGGCTCCAGCGCTGATCCCTGAGGTCCCTCTGCCAACTCTTCCTTACATGGTTCTTTGCTCCTCTTCAAAATTTTGGCTTCTTTGTCAAGTCGTCTGTGTGTGAAAGGTTGTGTTTGGTATTTATTTAACTTGATAGGCTATGTTCTCTGGTGTAAGACCTAAATTACAAGCCCATGCTAAATGACAAAGGGCCTATGAGACAGTGCTGTAATGCCCTCCCATTGTAGCCATAGCCCGACCTTTGTTCTAACCCTGGCCTAGGAATGTAAGGCAATCTTGTACTGTTTGAAGTCTGGATCCGAATTAACATGTAAGTTAATGGCTCTAGACAGAGAGACCCCAAGTTAATTGTCAAACTGTTTGCTCATCCGGAATGTCTTGGTAACCTTTGAAGCATCCTATAGGTGGTATCTGTTATTCATCAATATGTGACTGCCGAGTATGCCGCTGCTGACCACCAGCTCAAATCAGCAGACCTTTGTCCCCTGCCTGCAAGCCTAAATTGTTAACCCCCCTTTTTTACCCCCCTATAAAAAGGACCTCAGCCCCTGAGCTGGCGCCTCTCTGAGCCAGCTGCTTGGTTCTGAGAGCGCCGTCTGGCCAGACTAATAAAGGCCTATTTACTATCTAGCCTGGTGTATTCCTTCCTGGGTTTCTCATTCCTCCGTCGAGCTCCCGGAGCCTCGTTGGGCTGTAGGACCCAACATTGTGGAGGCCTTTTTGTCTGTAAACGTTCCGTGGAGTGGAAGTGAGACTTTGCATCTTAACTGGGTCTCACCCTCTTTTGGGGATTGCTGGTGGCCCATTTCACCTGCAAGTGGCCTGGGCACTCAGCCAACCCTCTGGGCAGGCAGGAGGGGAGCAGGGTGACTTGACCAGAAGTGAGATGGAGGTCCTTGCTCCTCACATCACTGCTATCCTCGAGGGCAGTGCTGAGGTCAGAGCATTGGGTGGGTGGGTAGTGGTGCTAGCCTGGGCTCTAAAGATAATAATTCCTTTGGGAAAATTGGAGGTAGCATGAGGTGAGCAGTGAAGCTTAGGGCCCAACTTGGGTCTAGAAGGAGGTTGTTTTAGAAATGAGGGGTGGTGGCTACCATGGGGCTTGGCCTCACCTCCAGGTCCATTGGCAACGAGGGAAGCAGCAGTTGTATCCAGCTTGGCTGCCCGGGTCTTCAGGAAGGCAAGGCAGGAAACACTTTGATCTGGGACCAAAAACAAAGGAGAAATCATGCAGCTCATAGCTCTCCTCTCTCTCTCTCTCTCTCTCTCTATCCTGATGGATGATGATAGACCAGAGGGAGGGGCTGAGAGATCTGAGACACCCAAGCAGGTGAACATTCAGGAGCTTAGCCCAGAACCCTCCAGACACTTCCCAAAGGGGGCCCTCTCTAAGAGCTCCTGGATTGGAACAGTATGATTTAGGGCCAGGGATTTAACTCAGTGGTGCCACACCTGCCTTGTAAGGGCAAGGTCCTGAGTTCAATCCCCAGCACCCCACCAAAAAAAGAAAAGGGAACAGTACAATTTATCTTTTATTTGTTTGTTTTGTTTTGTTTTTGTTTTTGTTTTTTGAGACAGGGTCTCACTATGTAGTTGAGACTGACCTGGAACTCACTATACAGCCCAAGCTGGTCTCGAACTCACAGTAATCCTCCTGCCTCAGCCTCCCGAGTGCTAGGATTACAGGCATGCGCCACCATGCCTGGCTTAGTACAATTTATCTTTAATTCACTGTTTTTTCTCCTAAATTCTGTGGGTTTTTTTTTGTACTGGGGATTGAACTAGTGAATAAACTTGGTACATTTTAGATGTACAATACATTTACATTCATCATCCGGATCTTGTACCTTTACATGATGTATCTTGGTTCTTATTTTTTTCCCATTCCCCTGCCCTCCCTTCAACCCCTTCACCCCTCCCTATTTGCAAAAGCTTTGTTTCCATTTATCTCTTATCTCATATTTTTTTCCTTTTCCTTCTTTCCTTCCCCTACCCCTCCCTAATTCACCTTTTAGAAAAGCACAAACTTTGACCTACATTGTGATGGATTATCACTCCTGCTGTCAGAAGAGAAGAGGGAAATTTAGACAATTTAAAAGATTTGTGTAAGATCATAAGATGTTCACTCCTTTCTTCACTCGTTTTTCATCTGTAACTAAGCATGTCTTAGGGACCAGGCATCACGTTGAGTTCAGAAGGAATAAGTGGAAGAAGAGACCTGAAGCAGACTAGTGAGAACTACCTCTAAAAATGAACAAATCACCACCAGCACACGCGGGAAGGGAGAGAAGGCTCTCCAGGGAGCTGCATTTACTGTGCACTCTTGAGAGGTGGAATGGATGGTGGATTGAGCAGATGTTGTAGGAAAGGCAAGTGTCAGCCGCAGATCTTCACAATGCAACCTCATCCAAAATAAATTCACCTAGTCCTGCTTCCTTGGTCTTCCCTCATTTACTAGGCTTCAGGTGCCATCAGCACAAGCCCCATGTCTATCCTTTTGCTCCTTGTCTCTAATTCTTGTAGAGTGCTTAGTGCAGAGCACTCAAATATTTGTTATTGAATAAAAATTATGTGCACCTACCTAGATTCAAACCTCGAGGGGCCACAAAGAACATTGTTACCTGGGTGCAGGGACTCTAGACAAAGAAATCTCCTCCTTTGATTCTCTTTGAGCAGAGGCCCCAGAGGCAACTATTCAGACTGGAGGGCTAATGGACAGTCATATGTAAATCAGATGTTATTATGCATCAAATATTTAAATATCTCTCAATATCCATATGTTGAAATACTAACCCTCAACAGAATGGTATTTGGAGATAAGGGGTTTGGAAGGTAATGAAGTCAGGCAGGTGGAACCTTCCCTCAGGCAAGGGAATAGCACCCCTATGAAAAGGAACTCAGAAAATTGTCTTGTTCTTTCCTCCATGTTGGGATACAAGAAGTCAGCAGTCTGTACTCTGGCAGAGAGCACTCAAAAGAACTATTCCATCCCGACACCCTAATCTCAGAAGTCCAGATTCCCAAATTGTGAGAAATAAATTTCTATCATTTATAAGTCATCCAGTTTATTGTATTTTGTGACTAGACTAAGATACAAATTCCATAAATTATAGAAGTGGTCTTGGAATTAAATACTGGAAGTTGTGCTTGCAGGTCTCATCACTGTGAGTTAATCATAGCACAGTTCTTACGTTGGCCTGACTATGAGTTCAGCATCACATTGTGCACTCGGGAATCATGGTGGACACAGCAGATTCAAGCCCTGCCTTCCACGGAGCATTAATTACAACCAGGACTGGCGACTTCATGGACATGCTCTATGAGCCAGGCACTAAGTAGGCACTTCCTCAACATGACCACGTGCTATGATCTCAATCCTGGGTAGGCTTAAAATGCTCTTAAATGTTCTCCTGCTCTTACAGGAGAACCTGCTCTTTAGGAAGAATCATAATGTGCCTAAGGCCATGCAACTATTAGTAGAGTGGATGAAACTGAAACCCTCATGTTTGCCCCCAAAGCCCATACTTTTAATAATATACTTTGTGATTGTTCTTAGGGAGCTGAGTCATCTAAAAGACAGATCATAGGGACACCAATATGGTAATGTGGCTCCTGCCAGACTCCTTGGCCTCAGTGTCCTTCTGATGCCTGGAAGCACTAATGGCGATATGGGATAACTGTAAATCACTGTTGGTTATTGGGCTCCTGGGTGTATTAGACTTGGGAGAACCAGGCAGGGAGATACAAAAGGGAAGACACAACAAGGATGAACTCCTTCACTTGCAGACACTCCCCTGGAGAGGCTGAAGAGGTACAGACAATGGGCATGCATACTGGCTCCCCACTTAGCCTTGTGGGGCCTGAGGGAATGTTTCACTTCCCTACTCCTTTATTTTCTTCATCTGTGATATGGACATCACCTACTTCACAGAGTTTTAAAGTGGATCAAATGAGACTCTATATGATTAGTGCTATGTAACCTTGCTAGGAAGGCTGATGGGATTTAATGAAACCAAAGAGCCTTGGCATAAAGTCACTCAACAAATGGCAACTGTTATAATGATTGTTACTTAATTATTGTTTCCACCACTCAGTTTCCTAATTTATGAAAATGAGTACAATAGTACCTCTCTCTCAGGCTCAATGGAAGCACTAAATGAGCAAAAAAATTTAAAGTATGTAGGAAAAATGACTGACATATAACAGATACTCAACAAACATCGTTATATTGTTTTCCAGGTAAAAACACCCTTGTCTTGGAGTAAGCTCACTAATTTTCTGGATTCTAGCTTGGTTGAAGGCTCTTGGTCTCTCTCTTTTATACTTATATTCTTTCTTTTTGATGTGGGGGAAGAAGTAACAATACTCCCTATGAGGAAAACTCAAGCTCAAATGTTAGAAAGTTGGAAGAAAGACTGCTTTCAGCTTATCTGATTTTGCCTTTCTAAACTGCCCCCTTCCCTGAGAATGACTTCCCTGGAAAAGCTGGTCAGGTGATTTGGTTTTCCAAATAGTATGGTGACTTCTTAACAAATCCGATGTAAAAATGAGCACTGTGCTTTGGATCAACCTTCAAGAAGAGCCAGCACTATTCTCTCCTGGAAAGGTGTGGATTTTCACATATTCCCATCTCATATGGCAATTCTGGCAAGGCAGAAGTACAAGCTATTGGTGACAATGGCTGGCTTTGCCTTACTGGAGCAGAAGAAGGTTTTCCCCAAACCACTGAATAGTTATTTAACTTTGAGCACTAAATGCTGCTGTAAATAGGAGTTTACACTAGAACTAAAGGTCAACATCACAATCTTGGCCAGGGACTTTATTTTCACTTTAATGGCAATAAAAACAAACCTTTAAGGAAATACATTTTTGAAAAACGTAGATACTCAGAAAGAGCTTCATAGAAACATCTCATAGATATATTGCAACATGAGGCCTTCTAAGGGTTTGCTGGCTGGCCCTTGGGGAATGCCCAACTGCCTGTATCTCCTCTATTCGGCTCTTGATAGAAGAGTGTCTGTAGTCTGTTGCTTTGGAAATATAGGTCCAGACTCTGAAGGTGGAGGGCAGCGGTAGGGAGAAAGCCCTCTTGGCTGGGAGTTCCAGCCAATTTTCCAATCTTGTACAATCAACAACGAAACTGATAGAAATCTGAATCCTCCATTTGTTTCCTGTGTTTATTAGCATTGAAGGGCAAGGGATTACCAGCCCTAAGCTCCAACGGTAGCACTGTGCCTGGCACATGTCAGGTGCTCATAAGTATCAATAAAAAAATGGACAAACCTCTAATCACTGGGTGTGGGAAAAACTTTTCAATATAATATGCAAGCTACAAAGACAGATCCATGTGGGAGCACGGTGAGTCATGGCTCATCAGAGGGAGCTAAGGATGAGGAAGGCATAGAAGCCTAAAGACTTTCAGTTGGATGAGGCACCAACAGGTGATGTCTAGGGCAGGGTATTTAGCACAGTGGCTCTGCTGCGTGCCTTGCAAATTGCTGGGAAAAACTTTTCAATATAATATGCAAGCTACAAAGACAGATCCATGTGGGAGCACGGTGAGTCATGGCTCATCAGAGGGAGCTAAGGATGAGGAAGGCATAGAAGCCTAAAGACTTTCAGTTGGATGAGGCACCAACAGGTGATGTCTAGGGCAGGGTATTTAGCACAGTGGCTCTGCTGCGTGCCTTGCAAATTGCAAGTGAAAGGTCCTCAGTTTGATCCCAGTATAAAAAAAAAAAAAGAGAGAGATAATGTGTGTTTAGGGGGAGCAGGCTTGCTAGCTGAGTACAGGAAACATATGATAAATGGTAATACAAAGCTGAGAAGCAAAAGTAAGAGTTGAGCCCCAAAAGGGGCTCGGTGGGTGGAGACATCATCTTGGTTGATGGTGGAGAAGCAAAGGGCTCCTGGAAGTCATGGGCTGTCCTGTGAGATGGGCTTCATTAGACGGGTGTTTGGGGATAAGAGCTGAGCTAGTCAATCACTTGAGCTCCCTTCCCTCTTTGAGAGTCTCCATCTGGCAAGGCAAACCTGAGAAGAGGCTAAGCCTTTCTAAGTTGGAAGTGGTCCAAAACTGAGACTCCTTCAACTTGCCAGGTTAGACCCTGTGCTGAGTGGTTTGGAGCTTGCTCTTAACCTACCTTTTCGAGGATCCGGGACATTCGAGGGGCTAGGAGTGTTTAGTTTGCAGCATACATGGCCTGAAATGACATTCCAGATGATAATCTCCCCATCATAACTGGAGGTGGCCAGAAGAAAGGGTGGGCATTGTACCACACAAAGGATATCCTCCTTGTGCCCATGGTTCTGAGAAAGAGGACAAAAGCTAAGAAATAAAACCCTAGATCACCCATACCTAACTTTATTTCCTTGATCCCTAAAACAGGTGTTCTGGAGAGGCTCCTCTTTCTATGGTTGCCCACATCAAAAGCTCACCTGGAACCTCCATGTATGGTCTGTCTTGAGGTCACACAAGAGGTGCTTTATCACCTAATAGGGCCTTACCTTTCCTAGGAAAGTACTATTTTCAGCAGCTTCCATACCTTACCATACTGTTGGCAAGCATATTATTGATGATTCACCTCACTAGCCTAAAATGTTGATGGAAATGGAACAACAGAACCCAAGAACTGGGCTAGGTCATTTGCTTTTCCAGTAGCCAGAGGTTTATATTCCAAGGTAAGGTGGATTGTAATTTAGTCTCTGCAGGGTTCCCATCTGTCCCACAAAGTGGATAACATGTATGTGCTATGAGGAATTGAAACCACTGCTGTCCTCTAAAGGAAGAGCTTTGGATACGAACTGTTAGGAACCTGTTGCTGCCATCACAGGCTGCATTTTCTTGGTTCTTCTTGTCTCTTAAAATGACCTCATGCTCTTATCTTTAGTTTCCCTCTCCCCAAGGCCACAGTGGTCCAGAGGAATTAAACCTGAGTTTCTGCAGGACAGAACCCATAAAAGGCAACCTGGCCTGTGATCGGTTAAAGGTAGCCTGCTCCTCATTAATAAGCAATAGCCCAGCCCCAAAACAATAAAAAGACCTTCCTTTCTTTGTTCCTCTCTCTCCTTCTCTCTCTTGTCTCTATTCTTTTCCCTCTCTCCTCTCTCCTTAACCTGCCTTCCCTAATAAAATCTCCTGTCGGACCTCTCAGTGTGTGGCCTAGTTGTTGAGAGTCACTGTGCCTCTACATGAACGCTTAAGAAAGATAAGAATTCAAAATGGATCAAAGACCAATGCTACAGAGTTCAGAGTCTCTCATGGCAGGGCAGTTACTATGTGAAGGGAAGTGGCTTCTCTTGGCTGTCATGAAGATATTCTTTCAAGCCTGCCCTCATGTACTTGCCACAGAGTGTCCTTGAGCACCTGTCCCTGATCACCTAAGATTCCCCTCCTGCTTGAACACTGCTGAGATGGTGACATTGTGAGTCTGCTGGAAAAGAAGGGGCCAATGGCCATCTTCCCAAGCTCCTGTGTTTCCAGATCCCACTCCCATGCCACCCCTCTGCAGTGTATGAACATTAGGACGGTTCCTCCTTTCATGGACCCTCTGCCTGCAGAATAAAGTACACATATCTATTATGGACTGAGTATTTCTGTCCCCCATCTCCAATTCACATTTTGAGGTTCTCACACCTGAGGTCATGATATTTGAGATAGGGTCTTTAGGGAGCCCTAGAGCCAGACAAGGTCATGAGGATGGGTCCCTATGTTGGGATTAGGGTCCAAATAAGAACAGGAAGAGACATGCAGTTCACTCTTGCTCTGTGATACAAGAAGGTGACCATCTAAAAGCTACACAAGCAGAACCTGACTTAGCTGGCACCCTGATCTCTCCTCGACTTCCAGCTGCCACAACTGTGAGAAATAAATTTGCTGCGTAAGCGGCCCAAACAGTGACATCATTTTAAGGCAGTCCAGGGGGACCAAGATAATACTTTAGTATATCATTCAAGCTCTAATTTTCCAGCCTCATCTCCCTCCTGTATCAGTGCACCTGCTTCTCAAATTCTTCCTGTCCCTTCCAAACACCATGCTTCTATTTATTCAAGCTTTGCTCACACTGCCTCTTTTCTCAGCTGGATTGCTATACCTTACCTTCCTCTTCTGGAGAAAAACTCTGGTAGTCTTTTAATAACATATGTGACATCAGAACAAAGTTAGTGGCTCTCATTTCTGTGCTCCTCCAGCATTTTCTACATTATAATATGGCCTATTTTATACACTATTATTTCATCTATACTGCATGGCTACTATTTCCTCAGTTGTTCATCTTCTTGCCATTCTATGAGATTCTGGAGGCCAGGAATCACATTTTATTCATGGCTGTGTCATCTGCACCTGTCCACTATGCAAGTGCTGGATAAACACATTGAGTGAGTAGGAGATTGAGGGACCATGAGGGAGCTCATACAAGATGTCTCTCACAGTGGGCATGACTTCTCTGGGTATTTTGTGTAAAACTTCACATTTTCATCGAACATCCACTAAACTACACACTTCTGAACAACACAGGCACTGTACCTGGTTTTGTTCATCCCTGTATCTTTAGTAAACAACACATACTTAGCTGGCCAGAGGCACTTAGCAAATGCTTGTTGAGTGAAAACATTTATTGGGCAACTATTATAAAGTCAAGCTTTGGCCTAGGTCTGTCTTCATGGAATTTGTATTCTAGCGAACTCTATCTTTTGTAATATTTACAGGGTATATAGGTGAATGGGGCAGTGGCACAGTGGGACTTGGCAGTTTTGCTTTCTTGACTTTGCTTTCTTTACCAGCTTGGCATCTAGATAATTTTCAGGAAGATCTTTAAGTCCTAGGAAGCTATGGAAAGTTGGGGGCATTAGTTAGTCCCAATAATAAGTATAAGCAGTCCCCTATTTTGGCCTCTTTTGGCCACAGGCTAGGCTTATGAATACAGAATTTGGCCCTCCAAAGAGAAGCCAGAAGTGAATACTTCCTTGAGGAAAATCACTCCCACACTTTGTCTTGAGCTGCCTTCATCACTTTAGGACTCCCAGTTGGAGTGTGGAGATGCATGGTCTCTGCTCCAGCTTAAACATGAGGTTATCTAAACCTCCTTCACAGAAAAGAAGGGATATCTGGACCTGAGTGTGCCTGGGCCTGGTAATAAATCCTGTCAAAGAAGAGATTCCTGAGACACTGTGACTACTCAAGGCAGGCCCAAGGAGATCCTCTTCATGTGCCACTGTGTGTTCTGAAGGCAAGACAGCAGACTAGGGCTTACCAGGTCATCCTGCCAGTGTGGCTGTGGCTTCCAGAAGTGATGAAAGTCATGCGGTGCATCCTGTATCCAAAGCCAAAGAGGACACGTTGTACAAGCAATAAAATGAGCTGCCAACTCACTCACAACTTCAGAGAGGAGGTGTTGGCACATTTCATAACCCTACCCTCACCCCACCAGTGATGCAGATTTTTGAAATGTCAAAGCAAATTCCCTTAGTGCCAGGGGGAATAAAAAGCAATCCACGCTTGACGTTTGGGTGATTGCATTTCAGCAAATCATATGTCAACTGACAAGCTCTCCTTGGATGGGCTGCATAGTTTTGCCTTCATAATAAAACCCATAGCTGTTGTGTGCACTAAAACCAAAGCCATCAGCCCAAGGAACCTATAATACCAAAGGACAAATTCAGTGCCAAGACTTCCCAGGTCATCATCTCTCGAATCATTCTGAGGATACAAAGCTTAGGCTATAAAACATAGTGCACTTTTGGATGCATAAAGAACTTGCAATGTTTAAAAACATCCAGAAATCTATGACCACCCAGCACAGCAAGCAGGGAAAATAAAATGCCTGGGAAGATTTTAAAACTTAGTTTTAGACAGCATTTTCAGTAATCCCCTTCCCCAACTCTTAAGCCATAACAAATAATTTTCTCTCTGTAGATCTGCTCATGGATGGCATTTCATTTCCTATTTCTGTTTAGAGAGGGACTAAGGCATCCAGACAGAGCAAGAAAGGGGCTGAAAGAATGAAGTAAAGGCTGGATAATTGAAAGGTTAATCTTCAGCCTGGAGTGCGCACATGTGCAGTATAACTAGGCAGCTTGGCATGCTGCTCAGGAGGAGGGACCACCACATGGGCAAAAGGGGAGAGGCAAGTGCAGAACTACAGGTGTTCCGCTCACAGTCTGGTTTGGATTCCCAGGGATGCCTTCTGTGGGTGGTCCCAACAGCATTTCTATCTAGCACTTCTGCCAATGGAAGGAAACATAGGGTGAAAACTGGGGGAAAAAAAGAAAGAGAAATACTGGAAGTGAACCTTTATATCAGAACTTGACTTGTACCAGATAGAAATGGCACTCCAAAATCTATTTTTAAAAGGAAGGTGCGCACATGCGCACAGGTGTATGTGTGTGTGTGTGTGTGTGTGTGTGTGTGTGTGTGTGTGTGTGTGTATTAGTCTCAAGGAGGGTTTTGAAATAGCATCATTTTGCACATTTCACTTACAAAATACACATTTATTCTTCTGTCCCATCCAACAGCTATAATACACCTAGGACAACAATAGAATTTTACATTTCAGTACTTAAGCTTTTCATCTGTTTAATTTTTTTCTGTGGAATTAATATTTAGTTTAGTTTAATACATGTGATAAATGAAGAGAACAAGAATATAAGCTCTTTTATTTCTTATGCAGAATGAGAGGGAGTGTGATTTGATAAGCTAGGGTCAATGTTTTAAATGGTACTTGAAGGATTAGGAGACAGAGCTATGATAGCCCACCACGTAGTATGTCACAGAGGCTCTGCCAAACAGCTGCCTTCGTGAGGATTACCTGATCCAGAGAGTATGGCAGAGCCACAGGGAAAGGGAATGTACAGAAATTGACCGAGCATGGCTTCAACCTTTCAGTGTTCACAAGGGAATTTACTGAGCTTTTGTCCTTTGATTTGTTGTGGTTGAATTTAATTGATTTAGGCTCCAATTTATTCCTTAATAAAGCATGTGGTGGGAAGCTACAGAATTTTCCACCTCTGTTTCTAAGTGATTGTCAAAACGTGCAGAGAACGGCTCCAATACTCTAGGCAGACCCTCCTTGCCTACATCACCACTAGGAGGTCACTGGGCTCCTCGGGAATGCTTTGACACATGTTCTTCTGGAAAATTCCCTGAGTCTTTTTCATACCTGCCCCCAGGACAAGCTTTGTGTTGAAAAATGAAACACACAACACCTCACTAAATCTAATTTCTCTCACAGGCGAGACTAATACAACTCACTTGTTTTGGTGCACTTCCAAGTAGGTGCAATCACAGAGTTCACTTTGTTTTGCATCTAGAAAGATAACATTGCCATTTATAGCAAACATTTTTTTTCTTGTTAGTTCTTGAATCAACACAGATGGGTAAATCTAACTGATATTAGGGGGAAGCACTATTTATCTTTCAGTTTTAAAACCACAGTTAAAAGTGTTTCGGGTCATGAAAGCACTGTTGATTTGGGGCACCCTCATTGCCTCGCAGTGCTGATTCTGCCCTGACTTGGCAGCCCCCCAGCGTTGTGGCACTTACTGCACAGAAAGCAAAGACAGAGATAGGAATTACAGGCTTGTGGCTTAAGCATATGATTTTGATCTTTTTGTCTTACTTTGACTTCATTTATCCCGCTCTGACATTGGAAAAATGTTTGCCTTCCATGTAGGACTTTTATAGGCCAGAAGCAGGGAAATTTAACCAAGAACAGACATAGTGAATGAAGGAATGAAGTGAACAGCCTGCGTTGGGGGTGGGTAACAAGAAACTCGCTTTCAGTTTGTTAATCTAGATTTTGATGAGTGTGAGTGCATCCCTGTGGATATCATGTATCAAGATCAAGGTGTCAGAGTCATTAGGTAATATGAAAGGCCAGAGAAAAAGAATGTGGGGCTGTTACACAAATCTTAGGTTCTCTCATTTGATTTGTTTTATGTTCACTATAAAGGCCTAAACTTGCACCAGCATTTTATGAGGACCACTTAGGAATATCCCAGCACAACTTGCCCTGTTTTAGGGTGTGCAGGCAATGTCCATTGTTGTAGCTCCATATTTTCAGACAGCCGTCTCTGCCTCCAGTAATTAATCTAGGAAACAGAATGTTCCATTGGGGTGACACAGCAGGCATGGACCTGCTGAATGACTGACAGCACTCTAAAGGTACATACCTTCTTCCACTGGAGTCAAAGGTCAGACAAGTGATCCCAGCATGGCCATGAGCCCCAGTGAATTCAGATACCTGTCTTCCTGTTTCAAAGTCCCATATTTTCACCATCTATACAAAAATGTTGAAAACTAGTGACCTAGAGATACTGTCAATTTAATTAAAGGGTGTTGGCATTTAGAAGTCTAGTTCCATAGCTAATACAGATAAAGCGTACCCTGAAAGCATAGATACTGAAACTACAAGATGCCTTACCTGTATGTATTCACTTCTAGGATTTCCACAACAATGCCAAAGAAGGGGTAGCTTCAACAATAGAAATGTACTGTTGCAGTCAGGAAGCTAGAGGCTCAAGATCAAGGTGTCAGTAGGGTTGATTTCTTTTGAAGCCTCTCTCCCTACCTTGTGGATGGTCACCTCCTCACTGTATCCTCATGTGGTCTTTCCTCTGTGCATAACCTTAAATTATGTGGTCTCTTTGTGTCCTAATCTCCTCTTACAAGGATACTAGTTAGAACAGATTAGTGACTCTAATGGTTTCATTTTAACTTAATCACTTCTTTAGAGGACCTACTCCAAAAGGGAAACCATGCACTCTGATGGTGGTGCAATTGCAAATTAAAACAGCTATTATGGAGAATAACATGGATCTTCCTTAGAAGATTTAAAATAGAACCACTGTATTATCCAGAGACTCCACTACTGGGTATATATTTAAAGGAAATGAAATCAATACATCAAAGAGACATCTATACTATGTTCATTGCAATGCTATTCTCAATTGCTGAGATATAGAATCAACCCAAGGGTTCATCAACTGATAAATGAATAAAATAAAGAAATGTATACACACATTCATGTGCATGCACACACACACATGAATGAAATACTATTCAGACATAAAAAGAATGAAATCCTGTGATTTGCAACAACATGGGTGGAACTGGAGAACATTATGTTCAGTGAAATAAGCCAGGCACAGAAAAACAGGTACCACATTATCTCATTCATATGTGGAATATAAAAAAGTTAATGTCATAGAAATTGAGGGTAGAATGGTGAGTTAATGTTTGCTGTGGAGAGTAGAAAAGATGGAGAGTTGGGGAGATTAATTGGTTACAGTTAGGAGCAAGAAGCTCTGGTGAGCTATTGCACAGTAGGGTGACAATAAATATAGATCAATAATGTACTGTACATTTCAAAAATCAAGAAAAAAGGATTTGAATGTTTCATTAGAAATACATGATAAATATTTGAGGAGATAGATCTATGTAACCTCATTTAAACAGTACACAATGTATATATGTATTAAAACAATGCACTGCTCCTACTAATATGTGTAATTTTGATGTTTTTGTATATTAGTTAAAAAAAGAGAAAGGTTCTGTCTCCTAATACTGTGACATTCTGAAGTCCTACGGGTCAGAGCTTCAACTCAGGAAACTGGGGTTATGCAGTTTAGCCCATAACAGTGAGAAGTTGAAATATTTCAAAAGCATAGGGCACCACTCTGACCATCTAGATGCAGAGACAGTAGATGTGGATTGAATTTTAAGCAGCAACATATCTTCACTAGCAGGGCAAAGATGAAAAGAATGATGACCTTTTTTTGGGATAGGTATTTCTTCTAAATTCTCAGCCTTAAGATGTTATTCAGTCTAACAAGCTCCAGCCTTGCAGTTACTTTCTTTCAGTCCTACCCCTTGAGATACCTTTGAATAAGGATCCTGCCTGAGAGAGTTGAGCATTCTCTTCCATGACTGGATGAGGTAAGAGTCCACTCCAAGAAGTGCTTCCTTTGGGGTAGGCTTTCTAAAGCCTGCATCCAAAGTCTGCTGACCAAGGATCTCTAAAACAATCTGAGAGGACTCACAAGAGGACTGTATCCTTTCTCAGCCCTGTTGTGGGCTGCATGTTTCTTCTAATTTGCTCCTTTGTAAAAGAGAAAACTCCACCGACTCAAGAGAAAGCTCTGGATCCCCAAGCCAAAAGCCAGAATGCACCTCTCACTGTTGTGCATTTCAAGTTACGGAGAGCAGATTTTCAGGGGTGCCCACTGTACTTCCTTCCTCCTGCAAGTTCAGTGTTTGTACAGAGGTCTACCACTCAGCTACATCCACCTGTCCTTCACAATATTGCAATAGAACCTTAGTGGTGTCAGTCATTTGCATATAACCTAGAGTTCTACAACGCATGGTGATATGTATTATAGTTGAAGATCAGATGGTTTTTTTTTTTTTTTTTTTT